AATGCCTAATTCCTCAGACAGGGAATGTACAAGATGAATGTGAAACTTCCTGTTTTGCCAGAAAGTAAAGAAGTGCTCAAGGAATGATGAGACTATATCAAAAGGTTAGCATGTGCACCAGCTTGAAGGGACTGTCACCAACCAAATTCAGAACAGTTTGAATGTTGGAATGAGTATGTGATATTAATGGATTATAATCCAGAGAATAAAATAAAAGATCCATGAGTCTATACTGATAAAATTAAATGCATGGATAAATAATATTCTTCATCCTCTTTAGGATGCTTACTGATTAAATATCGAAATTGAAAAACTGCTATATAAAAATAGCAATATATTATTTTGAAATAAGGACAATAACAAGAAAAAAAAACAACTAAAAGAGTTGTGATTTGCTTCTGAGGAACATGAACTGGTACTGACAATATTGGAGCAGGGAGTGCTGCCTTTTCAGGAAAATTTGTTTCATGCATTGTAGAATGATTGCAGATTTTAAAGCTACAAATATTAAAAACAAAAATTTATTGTGATTTGGCTGAAGGTTACAGAGAAAATTAATTTTCCATATTTTGTTTCATGACATTGACTACAGTTCCCCACAATGTAACAGCTCTCTTCCCACTTTCTCCCTGTGGTTACTTCTTTCCTGTGTCCTTTCCTATGCATTCCTGCCCCCTGAGCTATCTCCTTTTGCAAGTACTGCCCTTCTGTTCTCTCATGATTAATCATTCTAAGGAGTGTGTCTCCCTGATGTAACTGTTCACCCTATATCCTATCTATTTATTTGTCTGGAAGCCATGGGAGTAAGTTCAATTCCAGACCTGAAGGGTAACTAGAGGCCATAGCCTCAGGTATCTTATCAGGATCTATCATTCCAGTAAACCTGGCCTTTCTTTCTTTTTTTAATACATTTTATTGACATATAATTTATATACAGTGAAATACATAAAACTAAAGAGACATGCATGGGTCAGTGCATTTTTTTTTAAATAGTGTTCCCTCCCTACCCCTTCAACCCTGGTAACCAACAGAGAAAGTTTCCTTCCATATATAAACCTTTCCTTGACTTTTTACAATAAAGAACTAATACTATATTTGTCCTTCTGTGCTTGATTTATTTCACACAGCTCTTTTTTTTTCTCCAATGAATTTGAGTTTTGTTCCACATTGTTCTCCCACTCTAACCAGGATCTCCTGCACTGATCCCTTTCCAAGTGGTTGACAGTGGTAGCTAGTTCTTCTGGTCTCATGGTCGTATAGGCTGAGGTTTTCATGGTCCACTAGTCCCTTGAACTGCTTGTTTCCACATATCTTTGGTTTTCTTCATTCTTCTTTGCTCTGGATGACTAGAAAACTGTTGTTGCATCTAAATGTCTGCTTGCAAGCTTTTAAGACCACACTCACTACTTGCCAAAATAGGTTATAAAACAATGTTTTTGTGTAAAAGCTATAAACATTTTATATTGAAATAATTTCAGAGTTGGAGAGAATTTGCCAAATTACAAAGTACCATTCCTCAATTGATACCATTTTACCACCACTGCTTTCTTTGCATGTAAATTGAGAATAAGTTGGACACATGATAACTCCTTACTAGTAAATAGTCCTGTCTGTATTTTGTAAAGGCAAGGATACTACCCTAAATAACTAAAGTACAGATAGCCAAATTAGGAAATTGACATTGATGTAATACTACAGTCCATAGATCCATTCAAAACCCTCCAGTTATCCCAATAATCCTTTAGAGACCAAAACCAAACCAAACTCATGGCAATCAAGTAGATTCTGACTCATAGTGATCCCCATTGGGTTTCCAAGGCTGTAAATCTTTACAGAAGCAGACCACACTATCTTTCTTCCATGATGTGGCTGGTAGGTTTGAACCACTGATCTTTTGGTTACGAGCCAAATGCTTTAACCACCAGAGCTCCTTAATTCTTTAGAGAGACAGGAAAAAAAAACACATTCTGGTACAAAGAAGTGTATCAATAAATGGGTTACATCAAGCTAGTGTGTCTCTTTGGTCTTCCTCAGTCTGGTACATTTCCTCATCCTTTCTCCATAATGTTCACAATTTTGAGCTATTTTATAGGAATTATCATCTCCTCTCAGCCATATACATTTCTCCTATCATCTTAATAAAATTATATTAGCATTTTAAATTACATCCAGGATTCAGAACAATTTATTGTTATTCACAACCAGTTCATATAGTGAAAGAGATTACATTTTTGTGCATGTACAGTCCATGCCCCCCCCCCCGGGAGTTCAGAATTAATGTAGTCATACTCTCTTTTTTCTGCCCCTTCTCTTTCTCCTTCCTTCTCTGTATGCTAGTTTCCCCCTTTCTTCCTCTTCCTTTTCCTACCCTCTTTCTTCCTCTCTTGCTTTCTTTTTCCTTTCATTTCTTTCTACCAATTATAATTCATATCCAAAATTTAACAGAAGTGTGCTTTCTCATTATGTTTAAACACATCAGGTATTTACTAGTTTGCTTCATTCTCTTCCTTCTCCTTCTCTTCCTCCTCCTCTTCTTTTTCTTTTTCTTTTTCTCCCTCCCTCACTTTCGCCTTCCTCTTTTCCTTTGTTTTGATCCTTTTTACCTCTCTGTCTCCCTGGACACACTATCTCTCCAATCTAGTTTGTATAGATGATCTGCTACAAACTGTCACATGATGACTTCCTTTCCCTATAATCCAGAGAATTCCCTTTACTTCTCTATTTTATTGGATGTCCTGTTTTTAAATCCTATTTCTTCTTTCTTGGTGTATGACCTTATTTTGGAGAAGTGAAGAAGCTTCCAGAGGACAAGTACATGAGATGTTAGTTTTTGAAATCTCACATATCTGAAATGGCTTTATTGTACTTGCACACTTGAATGACAATTTTCTTGGCTATAGAATTCTAGGTGGAAAATATTTTTTCTCAAATTTTGAAGATATTAATTTATTGTCATTTAGATTCCAATATTGCTATTGAGAAATCTGATGCCATTCTGATATCTAAGATTTCTATTGTATTTTACCTATTTTTCTCTCTGAAAGCTGTTAAGATTTTTTCTTTTCCTTTAACTTCTGTTATTCTGAAATGTCAAGTGATGGACATTGCTAGGAGTGCTACCCACCCCACCACTGCCCATTCATTCTGACAGGGCCTTAACAGACTCTATCAATCTGGAAACACTTCAAGGAAATCTTCCTATATTATTGCTTCAATATTTTCCTCTTAGGAGCTCTGGTGGCATAATGCCTAAGGCATTTGACTGCTAAGCAGAAGGCTGGCAGTTCAAACTCACCAGCCACTCCTCGGAAGGAAGACTGGGCAATCTACTTCTGTAATGATACTGCCTCAGAAACCCAAGGAGAGGTTGCTATGAGTTGGAACAGACTCGATGGTGGTAAAAAAACATTTCCTGTTTTCTGAAATTCCTTTTATTCAAGCTCTGTCTACCTGGATCCTTTAATTTTTTAAAAAATCTGTTCTCTCTTATTTCCTGTTTCTTGTTCTTTTGGTTAGACTTAGTGGGAGAGTTTACAAGTTTTTTCTTTCAAACTTTCTTTTGTAGTTTTTTTTTTTTTTTTAATCTAGATAACATATTTTGATTTCCATGAGCCTCTTTTGTTGTTAATTTCTGGGTGTTTTTTATTTTTATTTTCTAATAATGCCATGTTCTTGTTTATAGATTTAATATCTCTGATTTTTTTTTTTTTTTTGCTTTTAACATTCTGCTCTATTTGCTTCGTCTGCTTCCTCTGCTATTTTTATTTTTATTTGTTTGTGACTGTCATTTTAAAGGCCTTCCTTATGTTTGGTTATTCCTACACATGGGACTGAAAAGCTGAGTAGACATTCTGCATGCATGGTAGGACTCCACTGTAGGGTGATTATGCAGAACTTATTCTTCCCAAAACAAAACCACTGCCATAGAGTTGATTCTGACTCCTGGCTAATTCAGTAAGGGACTCGAACTCTCAGTTTTCTCTTGACTTAGTCCGCAAAGAGGAAACCTCCAAACCACTGTTTGGAGTTTTGCCCTTTATTACCAACATTGTTGGGGACAAGTAAGAAATGAGGGTTGAATGTGTTTCCATCTAGTATGTGGGACTTTTCATTTGATACCTGTAGTTTCATAAGACCTCTCATTTCATCTTACCTGGTACCCTTGAGTACAGAGATCTTCTGCAAAGTAAAATCCAGGTTTCTGCCAAATGGTGATGGGAAGTCACCTAATTACATGTAGTAGTTGAGGCAATCCAAGATTCTCTTTCATTTTGTTAGATTTTCAACACAATCCTTCCGATTTTAGCTCTCCTAGTACCTATGCGTCGGGGCCGACTCGACGGCACATAACAACAACAACAACAGTACCTCTAAGGACCTCTGGTGGCATAGTGCCTAAGGCATTTGACTGCTAACCAGAAGGTTGGCGGTTCAAACCTACCAGCCACTCTGCAGAAGGAAGACTGGGCAATCTACTTTCATAAAGATTTACCTCCTTGGAAACCCAAAGGGGGTCACTAAGAGTAGGAATCAACTCAGTGACAGTGGGTTTGATTTTTTTTTTGAGTACCTCTACCTGTACAGACTCCTGGAGCTTCTAATTCCTGAGCCTTTCTGGGATTCTCAACCAAATGTGCTTGCTTCTTTGTAGTTTACCATTCTTAGTTTTATCTTTCTCTGAACTGTTATTTTACTTACTGCTTGCAGTCATATCCAGTTTCCAAAAAAGTAGTTGACATACCTTGTTTGCTATAGTCTCTTCTTTTTATCCTTAAATAATACTTTGTGTTTTTGTTTGTTTGATTCTTTACTGTCACTTTTGGAGTGAGAATTAAAGAGGGAGCAGAGATAAACATACATGTTCAATATACCATTTTTAACCAGAAATCTAGCTATTCTTTTTATCCATGACATATTAGTATTGTTGGTGGCTAAAGAGATAGGATTTTAACTATATTTTTTATTGATGTTAAATTTTGAATGTTTTTTTTTTTCATTAGGATGCCTCATTGATGGACATGAATTCCTTCAGCCCTATGATGCCAACATCCCCTTTATCAATGATAAACCAAATCAAATTTGAAGATGAGCCTGATTTGAAGGATCTCTTCATTACAGTTGATGAACCTGAAAGCCATGTTACTACCATTGAAACTTTTGTTACTTACAGGATTATTACTAAGGTAAAGGTTTAATGGACTTTTTCTTGAACATAGCAACTCTCTTTGAACTATTGAAATTACTTCTTGACTTTATAACTTTCCACGTTAGAGAATCTTAGCTGAACTGAACTTATGCTTTCAGTCATTTTGATAAGACTGAATCTTATCTGGCCTTTATTTATAAGTTATAATATTTTGTTTTTGAAGCTCACCTTAGCCCCATGTGGTTTATAAATGGCAAAGTAAACCTCTTTTGTTGCTGAATAATTTCTGGACTGTCTTCAAATGTCCCTTCCATGCTGCTGCTAGTAATGTTTCAATATTTCTTAAAAACTTAGAAATCTGATCTCTTCACTCAAATGCTTAAAATTTCCCTTGCCTTCTCTTTTCCAGTAGAACAAAATGCACACTCCTTTGTATGATATTTATAAAGAGCTGCTCAGTCTGGAGCCAAGCTACCATATACAACTCATCTCTCACTCTTCACATTTCATACCTTGTTCTCTACTCTTGTGGAACTACTTCTGTTGTCTTAGTATTCTAGGGTATTTATTGCTGTCATGACTTTGGACATGCTTTTCCTTCTATCTGGTGTGTCCATCCCCTTCTTAGACAGAAGAACTCCTATTTATTTTTCTAGAAAAAACACAACATATTACTACTTGGCCAGTGCGGTGTAGTAAATTACATAGTATGGCTTTTTTAGCCATAGGTCTCTGTAAACTCCAGGGTGGAATTTGCTGTGAGCAACTGAGTAGCTCTTGATTGGTAAAGTGATCCACCTGGGGTATTTCTGTTGCGAGTGGCAGGAAGCAATTTTCTAGGAAGTTTGCTCTCTCTCAGGTGTATAGAATTCTGATGTTGGGATTGGTTAGTTTGGCCACTCCGCTAGGCTTAAAAGGAGCCCTCCTACAGGCAGAAAAGAGTCTCTCTGACTCTGAGAAAGACGTGCTACTGAGAGACATGCACTCCTGAGATACACGCAGCTGAGAGAGAGATGCAAGAGACAAACGCTGTTGCGAGGGAGACTGCTGGCTGCTAAGTGAGATGGCTGGCTGTGACATACTGAGTCCATTTCTGAACTGTTGTTTCCCTAATAAACACCACAATCTGTGAGTTCTGTGTGGTCACTGCAGCAAATTATCAAACCCAGTAGAGGGGTGGCGGGTGCTGCTGGAGGAATAGTTGGTGTCAGGGTTGATGAAAGGGCTGGAGGGAGGCAGTATGTTTGGCCTCGCAGGAATAGCCCTTGGGCTACCGATGATGATTCTGTTTTCCTCTTGTGGGGTTAGAGGAGGTCAGAAGATGCGGCCTCCCTGCCCCTTTGGCAGCCAGTGAAAGCTTCTCTGGTTGTTTAGTGTCTGTGACTGAACTAGTCCTCTTTTCTCTATTTTCTCATGTTTCCAACTTTACTCATAGATATAAAACATTGGAGTCAGTATAGCAGAGAAATTAAAAGCATAAGTTTAATCCTCTAAGCCTCAGATTTTTCATTGATAAAACTGAGATGATAATAGAACTTGGTAATGTATAGTTTTAAGAATTGATTCAGGACAGAGGCAGTGGTGGTTCAGTGGTAGGATTCTTGTGTTTCGTAAGAGAGACTGAGGTTCAATTCCTAGCCAGTGCACCTCATGAACAACTAACACTCATCTGTCACTGGAGGCTTTGTGTTGTTATGATAGTGAATCAAGTTTCAGCAGAAGTTTCAGACTAAGACAGACTAGGAAGAAATTTCTGGCAGTCTACTTCCAAAATAATCAGCCAGTGAAAACCTAATGGATTATAGTGGTCTGGTAATGTACATAGGGAGATTGGTAGAACTAATGGTTTGCTTGCGAAAGGTAAATGTTCTTCAGATACTGCTGGAGTTTTTATTTGGCTTGGAATTCAGGCAATAGAAGTGAGATTGAGATTTGTTCCTATGTTTTCTGCTTGCCATACACGTTGACATAGATTTTTTGGATTGTTGTGAACATATACTTTAATGTTATTGCTTAATTTTTAGGAGTTTAGCCCTACAACTCTAAGCAAAATTCCTGAGGAACAAGAAGATTTCCTTTTTTGCAACAAATATCCACTAATAACCTTTTTAAACAGTGGTAAAATCACTTTGTAAAATGTTAGAATTTTCATATACTAAAATCACATTTTAGCAAAGCAACTCAATTGAGCAAATCCCAGGGAAATGTTTTTTTTTTTTTTTTTCCGTCAGTTACATCCAGGTTATTTTCCAAACTGTAAAAGTAGGACTTTCCTCAAATCCTGAAATCTAATCATTTTGAAAATAGATATATATTTGAAACCTAAATTCAGATCACATTTGTTAGCAAGAAAAGTCATGCCAAAGATAATGGTAGTTAGAATCTTGTGGAAGGCAGATGGCTGTTATAAGACAGATTTTCCAGTGTGGATTTTAAATTTCAACGTGTTTGCTTTCTTTCTGGAAATACCGAAAAGTTTGCTTTGTTTCATGTGCCACATGAATCGATGACGGCAGCGGGGAGAAAAGTACAGGCTGGCATGTACTGAATAATTAAGTTTTATTATTTTCTTAGAGATCCATTTTTTTCAAAATGTCTAAAATAACATTAGGCAAATATCTTCTGTTGCATTGCATGTGATGTTATTCTTCCCACTTTCTTCAGACATCTCGTGGTGAATTTGACTCTAGTGAATTTGAAGTTAGAAGACGTTATCAAGATTTCCTGTGGTTGAAGGGAAAACTTGAAGAAGCACATCCCACTCTGATTATTCCTGTAAGCATATAGGTTTTTCATAGACTTGCTGCCATTTTTTCTTATGAGTCTTTTAAATGCCTAAAAACTAATCTGAGACCTTTAAATTAAGTATAGTTCATTTATTTTAGAAATATTTGTTTGTAAACTTTTCAATCTATGTATAGATTTTTAAAAGAGCTATTGTAATCTGTTTCTCAGATTTTGGTTCTAGCATTGTGAACATAAAAAATACATTTTTTTGTAGGAAATGATTAAATGCCCACTAGTCTTCCAAAAAGGAAATAAGCTGTAGACTTTCTTATAAAACTATGCAGTATAATGCTCAGACACATTTTTTTTTTTTTTGCTTTAGCCATTGCCAGAAAAGTTTATAGTGAAAGGAATGGTGGAACGCTTCAATGATGACTTCATCGAGACACGGAGAAAGGCATTGCATAAATTTTTGAACCGAATTGCTGATCATCCAACTTTAACATTTAATGAAGACTTTAAAGTTTTTCTCACTGCACAAGCTTGGGTAAAGAATTTTGATTTATATTCATATAATCCTTGCATACTTACATATATAACTGATTGTACACTTTCTCTTTTTTACCTTTATAAATCAGATTTTTGTTCCTTAAATTAAGATGGCTTTTTTTTTTTTTTTTAAAGAAGATATCCTTTGGATATAGCCCTATGTCAATTCTACATTATAACCATTACAGAAATCTCCTATCTTATCTTCCTTACATATTCATTTTTCTTTGTAGATGAAAGAAATTTTCTTTTAATGCCAGGGTGCATGTAAAGCCAATACAGATCATATACAAATATATTCTTTTATTGAGACTTTTTAAATAAGATTGGCTTAGCACTTTTCAAGTTGATATAAGATAGATAGATAGATGCATATTACTATATTTTTACTTTTCTTTCAGTTGCCTAATGCGGAGGGTCTAATTTCTAAGGAGAAAATATATATGTTCCTACTCCTTTTAATTTTCTCCTATGATGATAATAGCTTGGCAAGAAAGACAATGGATGGACAAAAGGTTACTAACAATTACTAACCAATGTTGAGTTTTGTATCTCTCAGTTCTTGCCAAAGGGGTAGATGCTAAAAAGTGGTTCATATCAATCTTGACAGATAGACCTGCTTACTCTTGGGAAACCTTTTGTGGCTAACGTAAAATGAATTTGTGACCTGGCTCCAGAACCTTAGAAGCTGTTAGAAACATTCTCTTTAGTCAACAGTTGCAGTAACAACTTGTCAGTTGTGATTTGTGCTGTCTCTGATAATGCTTACTCTGTCAGATGATGTCACAGTACTCCTGGGTGAGTATGTTGCCTGGTCAAGGATGAGATCAGTTATTATTTGCACAAAAATGATACTGACTTAGAAATAAACATGTTTATATACATTATTTTCTGTAAGAGTGTGTCAGGAAAGAAAATCTGGAGAAGGATAAACAATATTTAACAATTGGGTAAATAATACATAATATTATCTGTGAATTAATTATTCAGCGTTGTTATTTATAGATTATTTTCTTATGAGTTACTTCTCAGCTTCTCTTTGTCCCCAAATCATCTGTGTTCAAGAAGTGCTACAACTATCCTCAGAATCCCTTGTCCTCTTTTTGTTGTTATTTTTAAACATGGCCATACATCTGCAGGCTACTTTGTGTATTGTGGATCCTTTTATAGCATTTCTTTCATTCAACACATTTGTTGCTCTTTCTATAGGTTCTCGCTGAAAGAGCTAGTTACATATCTTACTAAAAATCTTATTAAACCAGACAGTGAAAGGAGTATCAAAATTTACCTTCCACTTCATTTTGTTGATAGGAGCTCTGCTTGGGACAGTGATTAAAGCATTAGGTTGCTAATCAAAAGGATGATAGTTCAAACCCACCAGCCACTCTGCTGGAGAAAGATGAGTCAGTCTGCTTCTGTAAAGATTTGTAGCCTAGGGAACCCTATGGGGTAGTTCATGAGTCGGAATCTACTCGATGGTGGTGGGTTTCATTTTGCGGAGGAGCTATGGTCATGTATTATGTATTTGTAAATGTATCCAGTGGTAGAAGATGAGAGGCTAATGCTAAATAGCAAAGTCTTTGGACTCACACTGGTGGGTTCAGATTCTTATTCTTCCACTGATTAATTCTTGGGCCTTGAGCAAATTATGTAACCTTTCTATGCCTGTTTTCTTCTGTAAAATGTGAATAATAAGATGTGCTTCACAGAGTTATTGTGAATTACATATATAAAAATATGCTTATAATGCCTGGAATATGTTAAGCTTTAAATAAATATTAGCTATTATCATGACTAAAGAATTAATGGAATTTTACATTTTTTTTTTCATGGAATAACTTAGGACCTAAGAAATCTTCCTTCAATCATTTTTCCTTTAAATTCCTGTTATAAAATATAGATTACATATTATATCATCTTCTTATCTTCTCGTATCTCCTTGAGCACTATTACCTCCATTAAACTCTGTTCTTTAGAGATGGATGCTTTAAGGAAAGACTGTATACATGTTTTACACAAGTACTTAGAAAGAGAATATTACCAAGGAGACAGACTTAGAAGAGGAATTGCACCCAAATAAAACTCATTTGCTTCAAGCTAGCATTAAAACATTTAGATACCATGCTATTAAAAAAATTATATGAATATTTTTATTATTTTTATTTTATTATTCTAATTAGATTCCTTTTGTTACTGAATCTTGGAATATTGTTGCTTGCTTCATGACAAATATTTCATTTTTTGTTTCTAGGAACTTTCTTCTTATAAGAAGCAAGGGCCTGGATTGCTAAGCCGGATGGGACAAACAGTCAGAGCTGTTGCATCCTCAATGAGAGGAGTTAAGAACCGCCCAGAGGAGTTCATGGATATGAATAACTTTATTGAAGCATTTAGCCAGAAAATAAATTTGATAGATAAAATATCTCAGAGAATTTACAAAGAAGAAAGGGGTATGTAGACTCTCTGATCTGTGATTTCAGTTTAGTTTCAGATGGACTACCAGGACAATAATTAAGTTAGAATTTCACCTTCAAAGAGAAGTTTATGCCCAGCCATGCTGTGAATTTTCTGATAAGCAAACTGTTACGAAGGTACCTATGGCTAGCCCTCATTACTTTATTCAGCTACTAGCTGTTTGTTATTGAATCTTAGAAGTAGGCATCATATGTTTAACATGGACCATATATTATGATCAAAAAAGTGGTGTTTCAAGAAAAAGGGTTTCCAAATTTCAGATGAGTTTTGAAACAATTACTCTGTCCTAGACTTCCCCAAGCATGGTAGATGGGTTTATATTTTGGAAGACAGATCTCTTTTTCTGTTTTCATCCCTATTTCATTTCTGCTTTCTATTTTTTCAGTTTATAAGTTAGATTTTACTTCATGATCATTTTTTTCTTAATTGAAAAGCAGTATAATTTTGCATTTACCTGTATTAAAAATAAGTAGATTTTTTTAGCTGAGTCAGCAAATATTTTCCTACTATAAATTGGCATTAGAGATGAGGAATTATTTAAAGACAAACAAAAACTCCTACATTAATGGCTTGTTCATCATCTCTATCCTCCACTAGAGTCTGAGGTCCATGAAGATAAGCAGGGAACAGTTTTGTTTTTAGTATCTAGTAGTAATAATACCTAGTCTACTATAAGGAGCTCTGGTGGCATAGTGCCTAAGGCACTTGACTGCTAACCAGAAGGGTTTGAACCACCAGCCACTCCTCAGAAGGAAGGTTGGACGATCTACTTCCATAGTGATACTGCCTCGGAAACCCAAGGAGGGGTAGCTATGGGTCGGGTCCAACTTGACAGCACACAGCAACAACAGTCTACTACTATAAGGAGCTCTGGTGATGTAGTATGTAAGTCATTTGGCTGCTAACCAAAAGGTTGGTGGTTTGAACCCACCAGCTACTCAGTAGAAGAAAGATGAGGCAGTTTGCTTCCGTAAAGCTGCAGCCTTGGAAACTCAGTTGGGGTCACTATGAGTCAGAATCAACTCGATGGCAGTGAGGTTTTTTTTTGTGTGTGTGTGATTTGGGTGAAGATTTACAGATGAAATATAGTGAATTGTTGTAGCTGCTTCTACTTTGCCCTTTCTCTACCTTCCATTTCCATGCATCGCATTTGAGAACGTTGGCATGTGTGGTGACAGAATATAGTTTGTTGTTATATACCGTAGAGTCGGCCCCAACTCATAGCGACCCCTCCTTGGGTTACCGAGGCAGTATCACTACAGAAGTAGATTGCATCATCTTCCTTCTGAGGAGTGGCTGGTGGGTTTGAACCACCAGCCTTCTGGTTAGCAGTCAAGTGCCTTAGGGACTATGCTTGTTTTCAGCCTTCTTAGTTTGCCCTTGCATTTACCATTTATTGTTTTTGATATCAAGTAGGTAATTCTTTTAACTAAGTTTTGTGAGTCCAATTTTGTTAAGTAGATTCTTGATGCATAGTAGGTGGTATAGCAATTTGAACAGTCCTCTGGAAACTCTTAAGAGATTTATAGAGTATCATTGACTTGTGCAAGGGAATAGTTTAAAAATCTTTAAAATCTGATAGGCTATGCGAGTAATGGAGTGCTCAGAAGGATTACTGGATTTTGTGAAAGGCTTTATAAGTTTGAACTCTTGGTAACGGAGAGTAGTAAATGGTTTTCTTATTAATGTGAACTATTAAATTTTTATGTGGGAGTGGTGGTTCAGTAGTAGAATTGCCACCTTCCATGTAGGAGTCCCAGATTGTATTCTCAGCTACTGTACTTCATGTACAGCCACCACCCATCTGTCAGTGGAGGTTTGCATATTGCTATGATGGTGAACAGATTTCAGACTAGAGTAGAGAGAAAGGCCTGGGTGATCTGCTTCTGAAAATGAGCTAGTGAAGACACTACAGCTCACAAGGTCTGGTACATAGCTAATCATGGGAATTTACATGGGACTGGGCTACATGTTGTTTCATTGTATAATGATACACATTGAGAAAATGAGAAAGGAAATAAAGTGGAAAATTTTTGATTCTAGAAATAATTGTTTAATATGATATGGAATTGCTGTGAGTTGGGGCTGACTCATTAGCAACTAACAATAACAGTGTTATATATTTGAGTGTCACCATCCCAAACTTGAGAGAGAGTCTTCTTAGTCTTTAAAATGTAAGTCCACTTGCAAAATTGTATTCAAAATGATGAAGTGGTTTCTTCTTTTTGAAAGAGTCTTATTTTAGGTAGATAGAGTGATTCGTTCATATTCATATCACAAAGAATTGGGTGATTGTAACTAGTGGGTTTTCTTTTGATGTCTTTGGGAGTACTCGTCTTATTTTCTTTTGTTTTCTTTTTTGCAGTTATTCAGCAAAATTTTATTGATCATATTATGTTACTTCTTTGTGTTAGAGATTAAAGGAGGAACAGTATGGTGCCTGTCCTTGAGCTCGCTATCTAGTTGGGGAAACAGATGTATTACAGATAAATTGCAGTGCAGTTCATTAAATGTTTGCATGAAAATGTGATTTGAGTGCTACGGAAGCACAGTGTAGAATTTTACAAAAGCTCTGCATGTAAGAATTAATATTGTACATGTATGATAATACACGTTGAGAAACTGAGAAAGGAAATAAAGTAGAAAATTTTTGATTCTAGAAATAATGGTTTAATATTGTCATTATTTAAAATAAAGGCTAAGCCTGTGCTCAGGAGAGTGGAGTTTGGAAGGATTCTAAAGGTCATTAAATCTAATATTTTCATTGGGTGACATCTAAAATTTCCTTTTTCAAAAAATTTCATTTCTTTATATTTTTCATGCATTTGAACATACAAACTTTTGAAGTTGTAATTGCTTAATTTACAGCATATGACTGATTTCAGCCACCTGTAATGAGTAGTAAGTTGATTAAACATATCATTATACCCATATGAATCCACTGCCATTGAGTTGATTCTGACCTATAGTGATTCCCACAGGGTTTCCAAGGCTGTAAATCTTTACGGAAGTAGATTGCCTTACTTTCCTCCTGTGGATCAGCTAGTAGGTTTAAACAACCAACCAATCTTCTGGTTAACAGCCGAATGCCTTACCCACTATACCATCAGAGCTCCTTACTCATATGAATATTAGACAAAGTAATTTACTATATTTATATAAATCCAAAATACTCACTGCTAATAAGTTCCCTGGAGAAAAATCTATCATTGAATGTTGATATGGTGAAAGTAAAACAAAAGTAAAAGTACTCAAATTTTAAAATGAACTTTAAATTTTGAATAAATAGCTTCTCAAACATTGAATGTTGTTGTTGTTGTTGTTTGCCATCAAGTCGACCCCGACTCATAGCGACCCCTCCTTGGGTTTCCGAGGCAGTATCACTACGGAAGTAGGATTGCCCAACCTTCCTTCCGA